CTCAATGGACATGAATTTGAGCAACCTCAGACAGGTTGAGGATGGACAGGGAAACCTAGCGTGCTGCAGTCCATGGGGGTTGCAAAGAGTCGGACATGACTGAACAACTAAAGTGAGACTGATAGGATTAAAATATACACACTACTATACATAAAATAGATAATCAACAAGGACCTGTAGTATAGCACAGGAAACTCTACTCAATATTCTGTAATATCCTAAAAGGGAAAAGAATCTAAAACAGAATAGAAACATGTACAAGTATAACTGAATCACTGTGCTGTATCTCTGAAATGAATACAATACTGTAAATTGACTATACTCCAATATAAAATAAAATTACAAAAAATAAACAATAAATATAAATTTAAAAAGGCAATTTGGATCCAAGCTGAAAATTAAGAGTCTTTGGGGAAAACACATCATAGGTCAGTGGTCCTGGCAGAGCCATAATAATGACCATAAAAGTTCTAAATTAAAATCTAATACAGAATGGGGCTTCCCTCGTGGCTTGGTAGGAAAGACTTCACCTACCAATGAAGGAGACATGGTTCGATCCCTGATCCGGGAAGATCCCACGCGCCCTGGAGTAAGCAACTAAACCTGTGTGCCCCAACTATTGAGGCTGTGCTCTAGAGCCTGGTAGCCACAATTACTGAGCCCAAGTGCAGCAGTCACTGAAGGCCCGTGCACCCTAGAGCCTGTGCTCTGCAACAAGAGACGCCACCACAACGAGAAGTCCATGCACCACAACTACAGAGTAGCCCCCACTCACCACAATAGAGAAAAGCCCTCAAAGCAATGAAGACCAGTATAGCCAATAAGTATAATGATTTTAAAAAATCTAACACAGAGGAGGGAAAAGATAAGTTAAGCTAAAAACAAGTCAACTTACGATAGGGATCACAGCATAAAGAATTTTTAATAATGGTTGAAATAAAATTAAATGACTGATTTTATTAAACAAAACAAAAAAACAAGATCACTAGGTAACTCAGGGTACATTAAAGTTTTAGAATCATTGTTCCAAGTATTGGTGTGCCCCAGGTGTCTGTGTATACCCTCTATCCAGGCCTACAGCTTTAAGTACTATATATTTTTTAATCTACAAATCTCTCCCTGGCTCCAACCTCCTCTCCTAAATTCCAGATTCATATAAGCAACAGCCTACATGACAGCTCCATTTGGATGGAGTCTCGAATATTTCAAAGTTACTATTAAAAACAAAAGCCTTTTCCCTTCTCACTACACAATCCTACCAAAAAAAGGACAGCTAAGTTTACTGAGTACCTTTTACAGGTAATAACCTAAGTGCTTAACACATATCAGCTGCTTTAATCCTCCCATCACCATCCACAAGAGACAGTTACTATTATTGTGCCCATTTTACAGAGAAGTAATTGAGAGAGAGAAAGTAACTTACCCACAACTATACATCTCCTAAGTATCACACCAGTGATTTGAAGCAAGGTAATCTGACTCTACTAGACCATTCAGGTATGACCTAAATCAAATCCCTTATGACTATACAGTGGAAGTGAGAAATAGATTTAAGGGACTAGATCTGATAGACAGAGAGCCTGATGAACTATGGACGGAGGTTCGTGACATTGTACAGGAGACAGGGATCAAGACCATCCCCATGGAAAAGAAATGTAAAAAGGCAAAATGGCTGTCTGAGGAGGCCTTACAAATAGCTGGGAAAAGGTGAGAAGCGAAAAGCAAAGGAGAAAAGGAAAGATATTCCCATTTGAATGCAGAGTTCCAAAGAATAGCCAGGAGAGATAAGAAAGCCTTCCTCAGCGATCAATGCAAAGAAATAGAGGAAAACAACAGAATGGGAAAGACTAGAGATCTCTTCAAGAAAATTAGAGATATCAAGGGAACATTTCAGGCAAAGATGGGTTCGATAAAGGACTGAAATTATATGGACCTAACAGAAGCAGAAGATATTAAGAAGAGGTGGCAAGAATACACAGAAGAACTGTACAAAAAAGATCTTCACGACCCAGATAATCACAATGGTGTGATCACTCACCTAGAGCCAGACATCCTGGAATGTGAAGTCAAGTGGGCCTTAGAAAGCATCAGTATGAACAAAGCTAATGGAGGTGATGGAATTCCAGTTGAGCTATTTCAAATCCTGAAAGATGATGCTGTGAAAGTGCTGCACTCAATATGCCAGCAAATTTGGAAAACTCAGCAGTGGCCACAGGACTGGAAAAGGTCAATTTTCATTCCAATCCCTAAGAAAGGCAATCCCAAAGAATGCTCAAACTACCGCACAATTGCACTCATCTCACACGCTAGTAAAGTAATGCTCAAAATTCTCCAAACCAGAATTCAATAGTACATGAACCGAGAACTTCCAGATGTTCAACCTGGATTTAGAAAAGGCAGAGGAACTAGAGATCAAATTGCCAATATTTGCTGGATCATCGAAAAAGCAAGAGAGTTCCAGAAAAACATCTGTTTTTGCTTTATTGACTAGGCCAAAGCCTTCAACTGTGTGGATCACAATAAACTGTGGAAAATTCTGAAAGAGATAGGCATACCAGATCACCTGACCTGCCTCTTGAGAAACCTGTATGCAGGTCAGGAAGCAACAGTTAGAACTGGACATGGAACAACAGACTGATTCCAAATAGGGAAAGGAGTATGTCAAGGCTGTATATTGTCACCCTGCTTATTTAACTTATATGCAGAGTACATCATGAGAAATGCTGGTCTGGAAGAAGCACAAGCTGTAATCAAGATTGCTGGGAGAAATATCAATAACCTCAGATATGCAGATGACACCACCCTTATGGCAGAGAGTGAAGAGGAACTGAAAAGCCTCTTGAAAGTGAAAGAGGAGAGTGAAAAAGTTGGCTTGAAGCTTAACATTCAGAAAACTAAGATCATGGCATCTGGTCCCATCACCTCATGGGAAATAGATGGGGAGACAGTGGAAACAGTGTCAGACTTCATTTTTTTGGGCTCCAAAATCACTGCAGATAGTGACTGCAGCCATGAAATTAAAAGACGCTTACAACCTGGAAGGAATGTTATGACCAACCTAGGTAGCATGTTAAAAAGCAAAGACATTACTTTGCCAACAAAGGTCTGTCTGGTCAAGGCTATGGTTTTTCCAGTGGTCATGTTTGGATGTGAAGTTGGACTGTGAAGAAAGCTGAGCACCAAAAACTTGATGCTTTTGAACTATGGTGTTGGAGAATACTCTTGAGAGTCCTTTGGACTGCAAGGAGATCCAACCAGTCCATCCTAAAGGAGATCAGTCCTGGGTGTTCATTGGACGGACTGATGCTGAAGCTGAAACTCCAATACTTTGGCCACCTCATGCGAAGAGCTGACTCATTGGAAAAGACCCTGATGCTGGAAGGGATTGGGGGCAGAAGGAGAAGGGGACAACATTGGATGAGATGGCTGGATGGCATCACCGACTCGATGGACATGAGTTTCAGTAAATTCCGGGAGTTGGTGATGGACAGGGAGGCCTGGCGTGCTGTGACTCATGGGGTTGCAAAGAGTTGTACACGACTGAGCGACTGAACTGAATTTGACTCCAGAATATGTTCCTGTCATACCTCTCAGTTCCATTCAACCAAGAACTCAAATATAAAGTCATCATTTCACCATCTCCCACTTCTAATCCTGTGCATTCCACTTTCAAACATTATCTAGAATTGATGTATTTCTCTCCATCTCCATGGTCACCCACTCATTTCCAAGCCATCGTCTTGCTCGTGTATTCGTTAACCTCCTAACTGGTCTTCCTCCTTCCGATCTATCGATCTTCTCTCATAGCAGTATGATTTTTACAGTAAGAATTGATGTTAGTGCCGCCTTTAAATACTTTCATGAGCTGCCATATGCTTGACCTGAGCCCTGCCTTCTCCAGCCTTTTTCTGATACTAGCTTCAGAGACTCTTGTTCCTGCCCCACCTCCAGGGCTTTTGCTCTCGTTGTTTCTATGGAACCAAAATCATCTTTTCTCCCAGCTCTCCCTCATCCTGTAGATCTCAGTTCTCATGTCACCTCTTTTCAACCACCCTTTCTAAAGGAGTCACTATTATAACTCCATTTTCTTCGCTGCACTTAACACATCTAAATGTGAAAACATAAACATATCACTAGTAGCTAAAGCTGTAGAGAAAGTACTGGTCTACCTAGGTTCAAATTCTGATTTCATGACCTTCCTGTGGCTCCTTCTACTCATCTATTAAAAATGAGTGCAGTACAACTGCTGTGATGAGTACAACAATGCCTAGCATATACTAAGTGCTATTTAAGCATTTGATATAATGATTACATATACTTGAAGGCAAGGACCCCCTTGATTGTCTCTATATTCCTGACACTTATAACACCCAGTTTACAAAAGTTTGTCAAATGACTATTGTTTCCTTTCATTGTTCCATTTGTATTAGTGACAGAGTCTACCATTTCCCAATCTTTATTGATGTTTTTACCCGAGAATCACCAATTAATGGGGCTTCTCTGATAGCTCAGTTGGTAAAGAATCTGCCTGCAATGCAGCAGACCCCAGTTTGATTCCTGGGTTAGGACTATCCTCTGGAGAAGGGATAGGCTACTCAATTCAGTATGCTTGGGCTTCCCTTGTGGCTCAGCTGGTAAAGAATCTGCCGCAATGCAGGAGACCTGGGTTCGATCCCTCGGTTGGGAAGATCCCCCGGAGACAGGAAAGGCTACTCACTCCAGTATTCTGTCCTGGAGAATCCCATGGAGTGTACAGTTCATGGGGTTGCAAAGAGTCAGACATGACTGAGTGACTTTCACCAATTAATGTGCCTTCACAGTCTATTTTACATGCATTTATTTAATTCTATTCACATCAACAATTGTCATACAAACTACAAAAAGTACAAAAGCATAATCCATCTTCCAATACCAGGTGAGGGTCAAGTTGAAAGAAAGGAACTATACAGGAAATCACAGGAAGAGTTCAGGAGTCCTGAACAAAGCACACTGCCTGTCACATGATGTATTTAAAGCTGCAAATGCTGCCACAGGAGAATCTCTTGTCTTTGCAGCGGCCACACAGTTCCTGCCGATGGGGCCTCCTTAGATTGATGTGTCTTTTCTTTTGAGGGCAGGAACAACGAGACTTTAAACAGGTCTTTAGAAAAGAAGCAACAGTTTGGACACTAAATGATCAAATTTAGTTCTTCAAATGAAAATATGCCTCCCTACCACCCATCCCGCCTATTTTTATCCTTTGAATCCCACGAGAAGTCCAAGACTAAGTTTTACAAAACCACTCACTGCCCATAAAGTGTCATGCATTTTTTTCCCCAGATGAATGGCCAAAGATGACCTTTAAGAGAAGATTGCTGAGCCAAACCAGAAGATATGAGAGAGAAGTTGTAAAAGTTAAAGTTGTGTAGAGTCTTCTCATTATGTAGGTTTTCACATTTGTAGCCATGTGGGAGTATTGAGTATTAAGTAGTGAGTATTAAGTGATCTGATTACCTGAACTGCAGTGATTCTCAACTGGTAGTATTTTACCCACTAGCAAACATTTCAGAATATCTGGAGTATTTCTGGTTGAGATAGGAGGGAGGGGTGTTCTAGGCAGCAGCCCAACCTTTTTGGTACCAGGGACCAGCTTCTTAGACAATTTTTTCATGGCCTGGGGATGGGGGGTGAGTTGGGGATGATTCAAACGCATTACATTTATTGTACACTTTATTTCTATTATTATTACATTGGCTTCACCTCATATCATCAGGCATGAGGTCCTGAGTGTTGGGGACCCCTGTTCTAGAGGAAGCCAAATGTTTTCCTTTCAGACATGGCTAATCTTTGCTGAAATTTGAAGTGTTTTTAACCATTATCCCATTCTATCTTTTGATATTAAAAAAAAAATCACACACCAAGGAGACTGGTATAATGCCCTGGTCCACCTTCCCAATCCTGTTAAATCTTTGAAAATGTATGATCACTGCTCTATTTTCTGTATATGTCCATAGCCAAAAAGAATAAGTCAAGCTTTACCTTTTATATTGTGAAAACAGGCATTTTTATTTTCCAAATGAGTGTGTTTATCAAATGTTGGATATATTACACTTATACCTTCCACCCTCCGGCTGATGAGTATGCATCCTTAAGAAAATTCTAACAGTAACATACTCACATAGTGTCTACTCTTATGTACTGCTCTAAGCACTTTATATAAGTCCATTTAGTACTCACATCACCTTTATAAGGAATAAAAAAGCTCAATGAAAAAAACTGCAATTTAAAAAATCAGGACTTACTCTAAAGGTAGGTTTCTGGTTTTGGTAATGGTAGGTTAGGTAGTTCTGACTAAGTCTTCTGCTTAGGATAACTAGACAAGCTGAGCAAAGATACTAATTAAAAACAAGAACTACTTGAAGGCACTGGAGAATTACCAAAGTATCCCAGAGAAGGAAACCCAGAAAGAGAGATGAGCCTGATATTTGGGACTATTTTCTCTTCAAAGGCAATTCTGTAACAGGTAAATTTTTAAGACAACAGGAAGCTGAAAATGAGCTTCACAAGCTGATGAGGCTGAGGTATCTTAAATATGTCAAAATGGGAGAGCACTGGTAACAATTCAGGTTTTGTGCTGGGACCCTAAAAGGCTACACCCTAAAGTAAGAATGAAACAAAAATTCATCAGCCTTCACAGATGCTGAAGCCTAATTTCAAAACAGCTCAATTATAACTGGCAAATAGTAATCAGAAATTGCTAGTATCTTCATCTGCCTAACATAAGCAAACAAGTCTTCTGTGAAAAGATACTATTCTGACCTCAAATTACCACTATAATTTGTCACATACAATATATAGCACTCAAAAGTAACCAAGTATCTAAGGAGACAACAACAATTCCTTGAAAACCAAGGAATGTGAAGAGGATAGCAACAGAACCACAGAAGATTAAGTTAATGGGGTTTTCTGGTACAGATTTTAAGAAAATGATGCTTAATATGCTCAAAGAAATTAGGCTGGTATTTCCAGCAGAGAAATGGACACTTATAAAGACATAAAAATTCTGGTACTGAAAAATGCAGTAAGGGGAATCTATAACTAAATAGGTAGTTGTACTGGAAAAAGCAGAAGGCAAAACGAGAGAAATGAAAGATGGTTTAGTAGATGATACCCAAACTGCAAGAAGGAGAAACAAAAGCATAGGAAACACAGAAAAGAGCATAAAAGATTTAAGGGATATGGTGACAGTTCTAATATAAGTAATTAGAAGAAAAGAGAATGGAGATGGAAGTAATATTTTAAATGACAATGACTGATAATTTTCCAAACATGATAGAAGTCTCCAAGTTACAGACTTGTGAAACTGTAAGCAGGTAAATACAAAGAAACCACAACTAGGCATAGAATTATAAAACTTCTAAAAATCAAAGCAGAGAGAAATATCTTAAAAGCTAACAGACTTAAGGTGAAAAAAATGAGATATTACTTCAAAGGAGCTGCAGTGAGACCAGCAGCCACTTGACAGAAACAATGAAGGTCAGATCCTTAAGGGGGAGAAAGAAACTACTGCTGCTGCTGCTAAGTCGCTTCAGTCATGTCTGACTCTGTGTGACCCCATGGACAGCAGCCCACCAGGCTCCCGTCCCTGGGATTCTCCAGGCAAGAACACTGGAGTCGGTTGCCATTTTCTTCTCCAATGCACCAACCTAAAAACTTTACACTCAGCAAAAATAACCTTTAAAAAAGCTATCCAGACAAAGCAAAATGTGTCACCTTCAGACGTGCATTACAGGAAATATTAAAATGAGGTATTCAGGTCAAAAGAAAGTGGTCCCAAATACAAAAAGGATCTAAAAGCAGCAGAAAGAGTAAATATGCAGTTAAAACTAATTAGACTACAAAAATAATGTCTTTTGAAGTTTAAAAATAATATACAACAATAACAGCAAAGAAGTTAGGATGAAGAGATAAGGGATTAGCATGTTCTAAGGTCACTGCATTGTCAAGGAATGATAAGATCAACATCTACATAAATTGCTTAAGCATGCTGTAAGATGAACTTGAAGAACACTAAAGAATGAATAACTGCCAAGATAAGGGAGAGTGATTTAAAAAAGAAAAACAACTCAAGTGAACACAGTAAGTAAAAGGAGTATAATAGTAAGAAGATATATTTAAATCCAAAGTAATTATAATAAACGGAGAATGTCAGACTAGAAAAACTAAAGATAATAGTTTAAAAATAGACTAATTTTTTAAATTACTTCTAAGTAGTATAAAAATATTTCTAAGTGAAAGATTTAGGTAAAAATTCTTGATTATGAAAATCAACGATGTCACACTTTTCTGAAAAGCTTAAAGAGCCATCTCCTGCAAGCTGTTTAAGAGCTCATCGAATTCTGTGACACCCTAGACTTTGGAGACACCATGGAATCTGATTACAACTCTAATACTTAGTATCTGTCTAACTTTGGGCAACTTATTTTCTTACCGAATGTTAGGTTTTTGTTCTGTATCATGGGAATAACACCTACTTCAAAGGTTAGGTTACAGGAGATATGAGAAGCACTTGGCTCCAAGTTTGACACAGAGCTTAATATTCAGGAGAAAATGGCAACCCACTCCAGTATTCTTGCCTGGGAAACTCCATGGACAAAGGAGCCTGGAGGGCTACACTCCATGGGGTTGCAAAGAGTCAGATATGACCACCACTACCAAGAGCTTAGGAAAGCTTACCTATTAAGTTACATGCGAACTATTCACAAGGTGTTCGAGGAAAAACACACATACCACATACGTAAACAAACCACATAAGGCAACTTAAATCTCCTCCTTCCCCGCAAAAAGACTAGAATTTATGCTTTATTTTCTAAAATATTACAAAAATTCAAACAAATAGCAAACTGAACACTCCTACACAAATATCCACATCTAGCAAATCCTAACATTTTGCCACAGAATCTTCATGCTTAATAATGAAAACATTATGGACACAATGGAAATACTCAGTTTGCTTACCTGGCACTGGATTGCTTCCACTCGATAAGGGTTAAAACTCTTTTGGCATTTGCAACAGAGTTGTTTGAAATAAACCTAAAGAGAAATTTGCCTTTTACAGAGGTTTATGTGTACCCTAGGCTCCCAGTTCTTAAGTAATCCATTCCTTCACCTTGCAGCTTGCTTTTGCCCAACCTCTATGCTGAGGTCTTAAGCTCTTGTGGTGCTAACAGTCACTTTTTCTTATTTTTTGAATCTCATTTTCTTTACCTGTAAAATCGAGACAATGCCACTTCCTTTTTCTATAGCTTTGACAACTACCCAGTAACGTACATAAAGTACTACAGTAAAATTCTTCAGTAAGAAGCAGCTATTATAATTTTATTCATTGTACAGACACAACATTTGACCTCCTTTTGTCCGGATCTATTTGTCCGTTTCTGATTTTTTCAGTATTTCTCCATTTGAAATTCAAATTACTTATAGTTATACACCAATGCACATGTTTCTAGGCTTTGTGCATTCTCACTTCAATTTATAAACCCTTAAAATCATACTTTGACAACAAGATGCCTTCCCTCTGACAGAGTTAATCGTCCCCCTTTTGTATTATTTTTATACCACTTCCATGTCACCAGTGCCAATGGCATAGATCACCAATCTCATCTTGTCTGCATCATTCCTATCAGAATCAATTTCTTCAGGATGAGTTCTCTGTCTTGTTCTTTGTATTCTAAAATCATGAGTGTTTGAATTAAACCCACTGTTTTTATTCTAGCAAGAAAAGGAAAGTAATTTTAGTTAAGTTAAAATATCTTTCACCTCCAGGATCTAGTAAATGGCTAGTGCAAAAGAGAGAAAAAAAAACTTTTCATTCACATCTTAGCATACCTCCTTGCTTTCTTCCTCTATACTCCTTAAGTCAGAAAAGCGGTTCTCTAAAATGCAACAGCATAGGGGCCTCAAACTCAAATGCTTGTAGAGGTTAATCAGAGAGACCAGGTGGAGGCTGCTGCAAAATGAAGGGCAAGTGCAGAGTGAAGGGAGACAGAAGCTACCCAGTCCCAGTCTACTGCTCCTCACACAGAAGTGAGGGTGTTTAAAGACCAGAGTTTGACAGTTCAGGAAAACCTAAAAATGCAGAATGTGAAATCTTTCCCAAACTTAATATGTTGACAACTAATTCAAATTAAGGCATGGAGCCTAAGTGAGTCAGTCTATCAAGGTTAACCTTCACAATAAATTATTTCTCTCACTGCCCCACCTTGTGGACAGACAATGGAAATTTTCTAGAGCTAAAGCCCAAATATGTTACAATACACCAACTGAAAAATGATTATACAGATTGTATCTCACAAGGAACTCAGTTCAGTGCTCTGTAGTGACCTAGATGGGCCGGACTGGGGGTGAGATAGGAGGGAAGTCCAGGAGGGAGAGGATATGTGTATACATATATCTGATTAACTTGGTTGTACAGCAGAAGCTAACAACACTATAAGGCAGTTATTAATATACCCAAATTAAAAAAAAGTATAACAAATCCCAATGTATACAAGGTCAAGAGTTCATCTAAATAAGGTAACATTTTGTCCAACGCAACTACCAAACCAAATGTAACACCAGGATGTGGTTCAGGAACTCAAGCTCTTGTGGACAGCCCAATTTCGTTCAGTCCAAACCTTTGCTTAGCACCTACTATGTCCTTGGCACTAAGGCTGCGTTATAGTCACGTCCCATTAGGACACACAGTCTTCCTCCATTTAACATCCATGCCCACCCCATTCTTCTCTCATATCCCACTCACTTTCACTTACCTTATTAGTTCCAGAAATGCACCACACATAAGCACTCTCCCATCTGGTCTTACAATCTTTACAGTGAAAATAGCCATATTTGGGTTCTAAAAACTGCAAATACGGAGGAAAAGTCCTTTACTATCTTGAGGGGTCAAAAGTGAGTGAGAAGTCACTCAGTCATGTCCAACTCTTTGCAACCCCATGGGCTGTATACAGTCCATGGAATTCTCCAGGCCAGAATACTGGAGTGGGTAGCCTTTCCCTTTTCCAGGGGATCTTCCCAACCCAGGGATCGAACCCAGGTCTCCCGCATTGCGGGCAGATTCTTTACCAACTGAGCCACAAGGGAAGCCCTGAGGGGTGAAGGGGGAGAAGGATAAAAAGCCAGATCCTGCAATCCTTGTGGTTTTGTATAAGTAAAAAACAGGAAGCCTCCTTAACCTCACTCATAGCTATTCTCAAGGTCAGTAGATGAATTCAGCTGTCAAGGACTGATGACTCTAGGACTCTTCTAGCTTCTCTCAGGCTTTTCCAATCTGTTTTCCCCAAGGACATGAGCACCAGCTGCACAAAATGAAGATCTGATCACATACTTCACAAGCCCCAAACCCCTCTTTTGCCTCATTTGCAACAGCTATGGTTCCCAAACTTTAGAGGTTTCACAGGCTTAAAGTCTGGCTCCTCATTGTACCAAAAAGCTAAAGAAACAAAGCAAAAATACAGGGACTTCCCTAGTGGTCCAGTGGTTAAGAATTTGCTTTCCAACACTGGGAGGCGGGTTGAGCCCCTAGCGGGAAACTAAGAATCCCACATTCTAAACTACTGAGCCAGGGGCTCTGGAGCACGAGTCGCAACTAGAGAAAAGCAGGCGCGCGGCAAGGAACGATCCCGCGTGCCACCAGTCAGACCCAAAGCAGTCCAATCAATAAATTTTAAAAATCCACACAGGACATGTAAAATACATGTTTTCAGAACTTCCTCTCTCCTTTATCAAATAAAGGGAGGAAGTGCAAGATTCTGCTCTCATGGCGCCAGAAATGGCGGGGGCGGGGGGAAGAAGGCTAAAGCGAGGGGAGAGAAAGCTCACCTGGAAGTTAGGCCTCCCAGCCGACTGGCTGGAGCCTACCAGGGCCGCCTTGCTCTTCCTCTCCCGAGAACTCGAGGAGTCTTCCTCCGCCAGCTCCTCACGCGGCTGTAGTTCCTCGAGGGGATCCTCTTCTGACCTTGGTGGTGGTAGTGGCTGGAGCGGCTGGCCAGCCTCCGGAGGGCCCGAGGGCGCCTTCCGCAGTAGCACCTGGCACCAGTGGCCGGGCACTGGTGAAGAGACGCCCCAGGCGGACGCGGGTGCCCTGTGGCCTGCGCTGGCCCAGGAGGAGAGGCTGTCCAGGGTGCGAGGCCCCAGAGAGCACTGCACGGACTTGCCCACCCGGGGGCTCACCTGCACGCCCACATCCTTGGTGTTGGCCTTGCGCAGCCGCAGGCTCAGGCCGGGGTTCATATGGGAGAAAACGGCCATGAGCTGGGCTCTCTTGTAAGGGTCCACGCAGTAGTCGGAGGCATTGGAGGGCATCAGCAGCCTGGGCCTGGCCAGGAAAGTGGGGGGAACGTTGGTTTGCCTCCAGTGAGGTTGTCTGTGCTCAGAGGGTCCAGACTGGCCCAAACGCAGCATGTTCCCATAGCCCGGGTACAAGCTGTAGGGAACACAGAAGATGCGCTCCATCCGACCACCTGGCGCCCAGGCGCAGCACAATATCCCGAGGCAGTTTCAGTCCTTGTTTTGTCTTCTACCTTCATCCACCCCCTTTTTCTCCAGGTCACGGTGGTTCACGTTCTTCCGGAGCTTCTCCATTTATTTCAGATTCTGACAAGTGCTGCTGCCTATTACCCAAATTGGAGGAGGGAAGGCGATATCCCTACCTAGAAAGGCCTAATTGCCACTTGATCCGTAATTGGGATCTCTCTCTCTTCAATTCACTGCTCTTGAATCTTTTTTTTTTCCAAAGCTGTTTTTCATTTAACTTCTTATTCACACACATGCTTTAATTAGCAATTCTAATTTATTCCTATGCATGCTTAGTCGATTCAGTCATCTGACTCTTGGTGATCTTATGAACTGCAACCCACCAGGCCCCTCTGTCCATGGGATTCTCCAGGCAAGAATACTGGAGTGAGTTGCCATGCTCTTCTTCCCGACCCATGGATCGAACCCAGGTCTCCTGCATTGCAGGCAGATTCTTTACCATTTAAGCTACCCGGGAAGCTCCAATTTATTCCTATAGTGACTTAACAATTTCAGAGATTGTGTTTTAAAAATAAAAAAGATTGAATACAAGCAGCAAAATTTGAGCTGCTGCACTATTATAGTGAGCATAAAGAAGACAGTATTATAGCAGAATGCATAAATGTAAAAAACCTGGTTCTGCAGCAGCAAGGAGCATAGTTATGGGGGTGCGGGGGCAGTGTATTTAGTGAAAAATTACATTTCAGAGGGTTGTATAACATGTCAACCGTTCTCATTAGTCCACTTTAGTGAGAATTCTCCCCAAAAGCAGAAAAGAAGCAAACTGTTCTTAGAGGTTAAATGCAGACTTAATCACAGGATAGTTAAGTATCTTAAGTAAAAGACTTGAAGTGAAACTTGCCGTGCTGCACACTAAATCGCTTCAGTAGTGTCCCACTCTTCACGACCCCATGGACAGTAGCCTGCCAGTCTCCTCTGTCCACCTGGGCCTTGTTTACTAGACAACTTACTCAACTGGATGATTCAGTTTCCCCATCTGACAATATTAAAAAATTTATAAGATTATCATAAGGTTAAATGTGATGTTACTTATAAAGCAACTAGATGATTCAGTTTCCCCATCTGACAACTCCAAAAAATTTGTAAGACTACCATAAGGTTAAATGTGATATTACTTACAGAGCATAAAGAATAACTCACAGATGCTCATTAAGAGGTAGCTGTTATTGGCTTAAGATCACAGGTCTGGGTATCTGTGCTATTTTGACCTAGATGATCATAAGCTTTTGTGTCTACGTGTATTGAAAAGGTGTCTACAGCCAAGGATTATGGTCAAACTAAAATGACACCTCAAGTACCAAGTAAACGGCACCCTTTTTAGAATTCAAATTTGCTTTCACTGTTCATTGGTCAGGAGCCTTTGGCAAGGCCACTATCACCTTCAGAATCCAGTTGAAAGCTTTCTAGGTCCTACAATAAACCTGAATTAAGCCTTGTGCTAGCCATAGCCCATACTCTGTGAATGAGACTGCTGTCTTCCAGGGCAGTTTCAGAGCATGTCAGGCACAAAACAGGTGCTTAGCACCCTAGGAGCGTCAAGGATACGTCAAGGATACTACGGAAGCCTGCAGAAGGAAGTATTATCTAAAACTACAAGAGATTTGAGATAGGCTTAACAACTAAGCCGGGAGTCTCAGAGGTTTTTGAAATTCTGCTGCCCAACAGCAACACGCAGTCTATAACCAATGTCCTGCGGCTTCAAATCTCAGCCCCTTCTACTCTATAGAGAGCTCTCCGTTGGGCAAGAAGTCATCCACACAGACTGACCACTGTGGGGTTTTCTAACGTCTGCCCACTTTAGGCAACGCCCTCTTAGTAGAGAACAAAGACTTTTCACAGACCGCAGGCCGCGTCGGGGGTGGGGGCGGCCATCCAAACGAGAGACGGAGCGGAGGAGGGGGGAGGCAGGGCGTATACATGGGGCGTGGTCCCTCCAAACAGCGCGGCTTGGTACTCTGAAGGCTCGGAAGAAGAGAACGAGCATCCCGGCTCTTTCTTTAGCGACTCCGGACTGACGCAACGTTTAGCCCTCGCCACAAGCGGCAGCACTGACGGCGCGACCAGAGTCTGACTTCCGGTGGGCGTATACACTGCGTGCTGCGTCATGGCGTCATCGCGTGACATATCCCGAGAGCGGGCTTTTGGCGCGAGAATCTGAAACCCGGTGGGCGGAGGTGGGGCTGCTGAAGTTTGCCGTCTGGGGCGGTGGGTCTCCGCGAAGGAGCCTGAGGGATCCGATTTCTTATCTGAGTGCCGGCGCGTTTTGTCAGCCTCCTCTGGCCAAAAAAAAAAAAAACAAACCAGCTTCACCTCTGAAGGCGGTTAGTGTTGGCAGGGGTGGAGATGGGCAGCCTTCCGCGGTCTCAGGCGGCGGGGAGCGCCTCCGGTGCTCGGGTGGGAGCCGAGCCTCCTGCCCTCGCTGGTCCCTGTCCGCCCCGCACCGACAGGGAGAAGGGACCCGCTCCTCGGCCGGAGGCTCCAGCCCCGCCCCTTCCCGGGGACTCCGTGGCCCAGCTTCGGGCGCCGCTCGTCCCTCATGTCCCAGGCTGAAATTTCCTTCATTGGAATCACGATGAAGTTACTTTACCTGAATATTGCTGTTTTGAAAAATGTTTCATAGCCTGTGGCACATTGTATCTGCCTCATCGCTTAGTCCCCAGGTAGTTGCTGTGTTAACGAAAATTTACTGATTGGGAGTTGTCACCTGGTGTTTATGTAATAGCCCTCTGCTAACTGTGCAGCCACTGGCCACACGTGACTAGTTGATGAAGATTAAGTAATAGTTAAATATTCTGTTCTTGAGCAGACTTTCCACAGTTGAGATGAGTCATGTGGCTAATGGCTGCTCTATTGGATAGCACAAATACAGAATACTTACTTCCCCGCTGTGAGTTCGATTCTTGTCTTAAAATAAACAATGTAGCTTCAGGCAGGTTTACCGCTTCCGGTTTTACCTCAGAATCACTTAGCTAGGACTGCACCCATGTGAAGTGTATTTTGGTGTTCTCTTTTGCAGACTCACCGAACTTTGGAGTAATAGTATAGATAAAAATGCCGACTGGATGCAAAGAGAGGCCAACTTTTTTTGACATTTTTAAGACGCGATGCAACAAAGCAGGTATTGACATTTTTTTTTATATGAATTGATCGTTTACATAAAGAAAAATGTTTTCAGAAAAAATGTGTAATTATGCATGCTTGTTGAAAAGAATCCAGTGCTTCACGTTTTTGTTTACACCATAAACTGTGCTTTATGAAGTCATAAATCAGAAAAGTAATCATTTACAGTTAACCAAATGATCGGTGTAGAACCTGTGGTGGATAAAGAGGAAACTGGTCCCTTGATGAGTAGAACTGTTTCTAAAGCGGAGACTTTCTAGCAAATCAGAAGCATTAGTAACATAATAGCAGAAGTTGTCCAACTTTGGTCTCAGTTCTTCTTACACTCCTAAAATGATTGAGGACTAAGAGTTTTTGTTTATGTAGGTTACCATATTAGAAATTAAAACTAAGAACTTTTAAAAATATTAAGTTAATAGCAAAAATAAACTCATTGCATATTAACATGAATAATATGTTTATGAAAAATAACTTTTCCAAGAAAAATGTGAGGAGTGACATTATTTTAAAATTTTGCAGTTCTCTTTACTGTCTGACTCAATAGAAGATAGCTGGATTCTCATGCTCATTTCTGCATTCTTTACAATATGTTGTTTTGATAGAAGTATATGAAGAAAACCATACATTACACAGAAAGTGTAGTTAGAAAAAGGAGTATTTTTAACTGTTTTCACTTTATTGTGGGTAGTTTTCTTTGGTATTATACCATACTTAAGTGGGAGTTTCTTAAAAGTTGCAATGTGGAATCTGAAACCATGTAATGAATTTTTTGTACTCTTTTTACATTAAATTCAATTAGTCTTTCTTGCTCCTGAATAAATCTTTTACCCATGTTGTGACATCATCCATGGTTTGATTATTTGAAAAATATTGATCTTCTGAATTACACAAATATTCCAAATATTGACACATTCCATTAGACGTTATTAAAAAATCACATTGGTTACTTCACTAATCTCATCAGAAAAGTCTTTTCAGGTTGGGAAGATGTCAAGCTCCCAGAGAACAAAGTTCTAATTCTCATTTGAAAACTCACATTTTATCTTTGGCAGCAAACTGTTGTTTTCCCTGCAGTAACAGGCTCACTTCATTCATTTTCAAGAAAATGTCCCCCAAATACCCAACTCAGAATAACTTAGTCATTCTTTCTAGCAAAAATGGCTTTCCATGAAAAGTGCTAGTTCAACTGACAACTCATCACATGAGTGCTTTTTGCGAGTAACTGTTGTACTTCAGTATGCAGAAATGCTTTATGTGTGCTTTCCATTTTGTCACTAAGGACACTTTAAGTTAAACTTGCTTTTTTGATTTTTTGTAACAAGTTTATGGTGATGAAAAATACAGTAACTCCTAGTACAATTTGTGGCCACTGTCATGATCATGATCAGGCTAAGCTGTCACCTGTTTCACCCACCACTGCTGTAAATGGCAACATTGGGAAAAAGGCAAATGATGTCTAATATGAAAACAGCTTTGACCTTAGGGACCCCTTGAAAGGGTCTTGGGGAACCTACCCCCAAGTGGTCCACAGGCCACATTCTGAGAACCACCACTTAAAGTATAGAACACAAGAGAAATTTTGTTCTCCTCTCTAACAGGGAATCTATTCCACTTGATTTGTGAGTCTGTATGTCTTGTGTACCTATAGATTTGTCACAGCCATTTATGTAGTGTTGTATCTGTGGGTTGCATTCTTATTGTGGATGATTTTTATTTTTGAATCGAGAATATAAAAGAAAACTTCAGAAGAGCTAATATAGCTAGTAATCTTGTATTGTAAAAAATTTCTCTTATACCTT